ATGTAATCTAAGACCTCATTTGAGATCAAACTTAGGACAGATACTGGACGTGGAAATCGAGAAATTATATCGCTGTATCGACAAGGATAGCTTGTCTACCTCAGTAGCAGGCACAGCCCTTTGAGGCCATCACATAGGCTCCTTTGTCTGCATTTGATCACAGGAGGAATTTGTGACACATCTGCAAGTCGGGGGAGATCAGCCTTCTCTATTCGAAATTCCGCCTTGCAGTCAGCTTTGCCCATATCATCTAAGTCGAACTTATCATACGACTCGTAACTGAAATCTGGATTTTTCGACTGAAAACAATCGTAAAGTAAAACGAATTCTTCATCAGAAATAGTGTTCCCATTGTGAGATAGCAATAGCAAATCTCGGATATTTTTAAACTTGTTCATTTTTAATTAAACACTTAAAAAAAAACTCTGGAAAGACTGTGCTCAGGGATGGTCGTCTAGTGCCGTCGCGACGTGAAGGAAGCTGCTAAAGGTTTGTATTTGGCGGGAACAACGTCGTTCTCGATCCAGACCCTCTCGTACACCACCGTTGCCGTCGCTCGAAAAATACGAGTTGCTAAAGGTCCCTAATTTTCGTATAGGACGGCGACGTCAGTAACTCTAGCTTCGTAAAAGCTTTTCATAAAACCAATGACATCCCTTTGAGATAGTATAGAAATATTATCCAGTTAAGCTTAACGATGGTGAACAGACGACACGGAACTTACTCTGTTTATATATGCAAAGCAAACCTTCCTGATCCGTCGGTATTTACGATTGAAAGGATCCAGAATTTCCGTATGAAGAATTTATGTGAACGATCTTTGTATTGACCTGGTTCAAATAGCTTTTTGTCAGCAGAGCGTTTTAAAATCGATCCTGCCTGTAGCTGAAACAAATATTTATTACAAAACAAACATTACGTTGAGTTCCGGGTTGTATAAAAACATGAAAGGAACATCAATTTGCAAAGGGTGTCTGGAAAATCCGAACAGCGAATAGCGAATAGTCGCAAATAGCGAACAGCGAATAGTCCCGAATAACGAATAGCGAAAAGTACGAATAGTGCGAATAGTCTCGAATAGTTCGAATAGTGGCGAGCAGTCTCGAATAGTGGCGAATAGTGGCAAATAGTGGCAAATCGTAGCAAATAGGGTACCCAGTATCTCGCAGTCAACGTAGGATGGGATTTTCCCGCTAAAGAGCACACACGCTTATCAGGACAAAAGGTGTTTCTAAACGTAATTTCTTCTGTTGTAACCGCTGCAAAAGCGTAAATACGACTTTATTAGGATATCCTTGTGTTTTCTGTTTTCTTAATGTCGGCGATGGACAGCCCTAGCCTGAGTTCGGAGAAGAAAAGGTAATAAATTCACTGAAATTCTGTTGATTATTTGGATAATTAATTAACGCATGATATTAGATCTAAAGCGGTGACTATTGATGACTATTCGTCACTATTCGCCACCTTTGGCGATTGTTCACCACTATTCGCACTATTCGAGACTATTCGCACTATTCGGGACTATTCGCTATTCGCTATTCAGGTTTTCCAGACACCCATTTGCAAATGTGCATTTTATTTGCTCGAAAGCTGCTTTGAACTGAGGCACGTAACATTCGTATTTCCAATCAAAACCTTTCGGAAACCACTCAAAATCATGCAAGATCATTCGAAAACAATGTTTTGGCACATTCGCTGATAGCTGTACCTGGTAATATCAGAAAAAAAAAAAAGAAAACTTTGACTACTCACCAATTCGCGTCACTTCGAAGAACGTGGGAAAACGGGTCTGTAATGTCATACGTACGGTCAGCGGTTAGAGATCGTAATCATTGGTAATGCTCCGTAACGCTGTGCTTCTGCTAGTAAATTCGCATTTTTTTTTCTCCGTTTTGACAAGCAACTCCCTCTTACGAACATTGACAGGTTTGACTAACCGAAAGTCTACCGACAAATCAATCATGACTAATCTTCACATTTTGTTCCTCTCAATCGTACAGTCGGTCATTCGGGCATTAATCGCGAAGCGATCTTCGCACACCGGAAGTTTGATTAAGTACGAATTTTCTTTTGTTTTTGCACGTTTTTGGTTAACGAACACGCTGGATGACATAGAATCTACGGCCCTCCGGCCGTAAATTCAAAAACCCGCCATCAGCCCGCCGTGATGAAAGTCTGACAACCCACTGACGTCATAATCTCCCAGCACACTTTGCGCTGAAAAACATGGCGCCAAGCAGCGAGTTTGAAAGCACTAAATTTGACAAATCTAAGGCCAAGCATTCGAATGCAAAAAGAAATCTGCGACTTTTAAGCACAAAAACGGACTTACACTAAGGAAAATTCACTATTTTGGCCAGAATTGTTTTTTAGCCGAGGCTCCTTTAACCTGAACCAGAAATGTTTTGTGAGGGTGAGCATGGGATTTAACTTATAGTTACATAATAATTTTTTTCGTAAACAACTGAGCCTAGAAAATTGAACTGGCAAATGCACTTCTGGCACTGATATTCACTATAATGGTAATATCACTATAATGGTCATGCAAAGAAAAACAGACTATAAAAATTACAAATTATAATGTAGCAAGAAAAAATATGAAGCAAAATAAAAGTGGCTAACTTGAAACTCGAGCTTCACTCAGGATCAAGATTGCCTTGCGCTGCAACTACACCCCTTTGTATGTACGTGTACATTGGAATAACAAAGAGTTGTCATACCATTATAATGTAGCGTGAAGATTCCATAAGATCCGGTTGCACTTGAAACGTAAATAAAGGTGATAGCTTAAGGTATTTGTGCATTTGAGCCAAGGTCTTCATAAAATCCCATGAGTCAGAAGTCCAGGTTTTGTTGGTTATGTTCCATGAACCATATTTCTCCATTATTTCAAGAAGAGGTGATCCTTTTTCACGTTCTATGCGCTCATAGTTTGTGCAAGAATCATAATACATGAAGGCCTTTCGCACAGCATCATTCTAGCAAAGACAGTTATATAACCATTCAGATCATTGTTGCAAAATAAAGTGGCTAAATCAATGCACTGATTCAGGAAAACTGGAAATTGCATAAAGTGAAGCACACCATGTGTTTAAAACGTATATGGCAGATTTTTCTTTTCACTTAATTGAATCAACTTGAGGTCATGATATGGAAATCGAAAAAATAAATTTGATATTGCTTTTTTTGTTCACCGCACTTTAGCCGTCTGAAAGCTAAAATATTCACTACCAGGTGAGACAGAATCCACGTGTGGTCGAAACCTGGGACTAGACATGAACCAAACAAATAGAAACAAAAAAGCAAATGAAATATAACAGGCAAAAAGCTGTTAAAATTGAGTCTTAACGTTTCCGGTCTGTTTGATCATCATCAGATGATGATCCAACAGATCGAAAACGTTAAGACTCAATTTTAACAGCTTTTTACCTTAAAGTTTTATATTTTACTTTTATCGGCGAAATGTATAAAATGTATAGAATTTATACTGTCGGGTATGTCGGCCAGCGGAAAATGTTTTAAACGTAGAGTATTCAATATGGCGGACGAAAATACTGAGCGACGAAGGACTTTGATTTTGCGAAAAATTCTCCGCCAATGGAACAAGAAGGAGAAGGCTGACAATGGAGCAGTATGTGTTGCAATATGTTCAGGTTGCACTGGGTCGAGAATGGCCAAGTTTCTCCCCTTTCTTAGGCGGGAGAACATTTACGCATGCTCAATACATTAACATAATGTATGCATTAGATTCGACACGGCAGAAATTCGACGTCTGAATCGGTGTCGCATTTCTTTCGGATAATGCGGCAGCCGATTCAGACGTCGAATTTCTGTCGAATTTAATTCGTTGAATTGAATTCGACACGGCAGAAATGCGACGTATGAACCGGGCCTAAG